AACAAAAATAATGATAATAATAACAATAATAATAATAATAATAATAACAATGATAATAATAACGATAATAATAATAATAATAGTAATAATAATAATAATGATAAGAACAACAACAACAAAAACAACAACAAACAACAATAATAATAATAATAATAATAATGACAATAATAATAATAATGATAATAATAATAGTACTACAACTGATACTAATACTAATGATAACAATAATGATGATGATGAAAATGATAATGATAATAATGGTAATGATAATAATAATAATAATGATAATAGCAATATTAGTAATAATAATAACAGTAATAATTCTAATAGTAATAGTATTAATTATGGTAAGTCATAATAACAACAATAACACTAATAATGATAATGATAATAATAATAATAATAGTAATAATAAGGTAAATAATGATAATAATAACAGTGATATTACTAATGATGACAGGATAAGTAATCATAATAATTATAACACTAATAATAGTAATAATGACAGTACTTTTACTAATGATAATGGTAGTAATAAAAATAATGATAATGATAATGGTAATAATGATAATAATAGTAACAATAGTAATAATGATAATGATAATAGTAATAACAATAATAATAATGATAATAATAATAATAGTAATAATGATAGTAGTAATAATAACTATAATGATAATGATAGTAATAATAACAATAATGATAATGTAATAATAATAATAATAATAATAATGATAATAATAATAATAGTAATAATAATATCAATAACTCAACAATAATAATGATGGTAATAACAATGATAAGAATAAAAGTGATAATGAAAACGACAATTATGATTAACATCATTATCGATGACGATAATGCTGTAATGATGATGATGATAATAAAGATGATTGTTATTATTACTATTATTTCTATTATTATTTACTATCATTACTATTACCATTATTATCAATATTATTGTTATTTTTATCATGAGTATATTTTTGTTAGTTATCAATATAAATCATCATAAAATAATAATAATAATTATCATTATTTTTGTTGTCATTGTTATTGTCAATATCAGTATTGTTATCATCCTCATCATCACTGTTATCTTTATCATTGTCATTATCACTATTATTATTATCAACAATGTTGTTATCTTTATTGTAATTATTGTTACTATTATTATCATCATCATCATCATTATTATTATTGTCATCATTATTATTATCATTATCATTGCTGTTAATATTCCTTTTATTAATATCATTATCATTTTTATAATCATAATTATTGCTGCTACCTTGTTATTGTCATTGTTGGTATAATTATTACCTATATTACTTTTATCATCATCATTATTATTATCATTACTGTTATTGTCACCATCATCATTGTTATTGATATTATTATTGCCGTTTTTTCCATATCTTTCCTGTTTTATTATCATCATTATCATCATTGTTATTATGATGATTATTATTAATACTATTACTCTTACTGTTTTTCTTCTTATTGTTATTATCAGTATTATAAATATTGTCATTATCATTATTATCATTAACACTTTTATCATTATTATCATTACACTTGTTGCTATTGTTAAATTCATTATTCCCTTATTAATCGTATCATCATTATTATCATCTTTATTATCATAATCCCTCTTATTATTATCAGTATTGTTATCATTACTGTTTCAGTTAATACAAATATAAATTTCAGGTTAAGAACCCCCCTAACTAAATATATGAACATGGTGCTCTAAAATGGCAAAGGCTATGTCTTTGATTCCTTTTATAAAGGTTCGGATCTGTTTCGCGATTCGGTTTCGCTTGGTCGAACTCACTCCCTTTTGTTTTGAGTGATTCTCTCCCTCTTCTGAAACCGCTTGGTAAGGACTTGACTCTACCACCAGCAAAGGCATTATGGTCTTAATGTGAATAGGGAGAAAATCGGGAATTTTTATTGTTTAGTGAGTTGCCAGTGAGGAGCTTAAGAAGCCTGTCCACAAACGCTACACTGTCAAGCACTTAAGGATGTGTGCGTGTGTTTTATTTTAGAATGTGAATGAATACTTAAAGAGTAACCACTATGTAAATTAAGTGTATGATATTCATCTCAGAATTTGTTCTTGTACCTCCAAATATGCATAAGATTAAACAAGATGAATAAAAAAAAACGCGTTTTATATTTATAGCCTTTTGAATGAACAAATTCTAGGCCTAAAACGTCGTCTGCTACAGCTTTTAACTCAAATATTACCAGTAGCGCCACCAACCCGTGAATAACGTCATGAGCGGTGTTAATTTTCTTTGCCATCGCCGTGAATGCATGGATGAGAACCTTTTGTGTGATATTTTCGTATGATATTTTTAGACATAATTTTTTTTTTTTGCAACAAGTTGCTTTTGAAAAAAGTAGTATCTCAGCAATGAATAAATGCAAAGTTGTGCACAAGCTTGGTGGTTACCCTTTAACATGAAAGTCTTATACTTATTTTTGAAATTATTTTGTAATTAGTGTTAATGAGTGCATTATTTGCTTTTGTGGGGTGAATGTCAACTAATTCCCTTGCATATGCGGGAGAGTTTATTTGTTTTGTTGAATAAATCTGTTTACAGTGAATCTGGACCGGAAAAATAACAGTAAAAAAAAAGCGTATTTTTGTCATGCATACATCCAATCATACAAGCACGCACACACACACACACACACACACACACACACACACACACACACACACACACACACAAATACGTATACAAACACATATACAAACACATATACAAACGCACACACACACACACACACACACACACACACACACACACACACACACACACACACACACACACACAATACGTATACAAACACATATACAAACACATATACAAACTCACACACACACACACACACACACACACACACACACACACACACACACACACACACACACACACACACACGTAAATATGTTGTTAACCGAGTCACAAAAACAAAATGAAATGAAAAGCAATAAAGTAAGTGTTTAAATGTAATCACTTCATGGATACAATCTGATGATAACGTAAATGATAA